CGAGCAATGTTTTATTTAAATCACAATAATTGCTAAGGACACAGGATTATAAATCTTTCTCTTCTTTCTTATCATTTGAATATATGTGTGTGTGTGTGTGTGTGTGTGTGTGTGCGCGCGTGTGCGTGCGCGCATGTGTGTGTGTGTGTGTGCGTGCGCGCATGTGTGTGTGTGTGTGTGTGTGTGTGTGTGCGCGCGCGCATGTGTGTATGTGTGTGTGTGTGCGTGCGCGCATGTGTGTATGTCTATTTATATATATTATTGACCACTAATATTATCAGTATATATATATATATATATATATATAATTATTTTTATAAAAATTTATAACATAAGTATGTTATAAAATCACTACAAAAAATAGCCATTTTGTTTCAACACACTCTGTGTCTTATCAAGTGATGATGTTGAAAAAAAATAAATGGTTTTAAAAGTTTCAGATTAATTAACGATCCTACACTAGGGGAAAACATTGTTACAAAAGCTAGAATAACCAATCAAAAACGAAGTATAGAAAGATTCAAAAGCTTGACAACGAAATCCTGCTCTAATAGCTATTCAGATCTTTAAATACGTGTAATATTAAAATTAATTTATACTAACTAATAATTATAAATTTACATGATAAAATTTAATATTAAAATTAAAAACTGGCAATTTTTAAAATCCAAATTTAATCACTATTAAGTTTAAAAAATATATATGTTTATTCAATTCATTTCTTCATTGAAATTACGTTCGACAAGACAAGACGCTATAATACATCCGGTCATTTGATAATACATGTATATATATTTTTCTCTTTTTCCCTTTCTTTTCCGTTTTTGAACTAATATATATATATATATATATATATTATGAAATGGTCAAAGTCCAACAATTTTTTATGTTTATACGTTCTTTTTATAGATACAAATATTTAAGGCTGGTAAATGTCATTAATACTGTTTATTATAAACAGAGAATTTGCTATTTGTATCTATAAAAAGAACGTATAAACATAAAAAAATGTCTTAATACACACATATATATATATATATATATATATATATAATGTATGCGTTATAATTTACGTTAACAGAAACAATTCGTTTTTTCTACGCAAAAAAAATAGTTATCCCCTTGATGTATTTTTTACCTTGGAATTCAAATTTAAATTTCAAATAATTTATTTATTTTTGTTTTTTATTATTTTTAATACTCCGACTTTCGAACTTAGGAAATTGAGATTCTCAATAGTTAATTCTATATTTTAAATAAACATGTTTATACACCCAATTTTGAATCACCTTCAATCAAGGAAATATCACATATAACGGCCAGAAATTCACACCTGAAGATTGCATTAACTGCATGAAACTCCGAGAAGTGTTATTGACGTTGAATATTATGTATATTCCCTATATATATATATATATATATATATATATATATATATATATATATATATATATATATATATTTTCAGGCAAAAACAATATTTATATACACACTATATCTGAGATTGAGCAATTTAACATGCACCTCTAAAACTGAGCGATTTGACATACGCTCTATCACTGATATTGAGCAATTTAACTCATAAATATAGCACGCATTAAAACTATATTTTATATAATATATATATATATATATATATATATATATATATATAGATAGATAACTAGACTCGTTTCGAAAACTTTCCCTGACGATCCGTTTAGGTGAAAACTAGCTAGGTTTGTCTGGCTCACTAGGTGTATCTATGTATCTATATATATATATATATATATATATATATATATATTATTTCCGTTCAGTTGACCGATTAAATTGGTCAATGTCTGATCCTTACTCCCTCTTCCTCAATATTAAGTATGATAATAAAAAAAATATAAAAATAAATTTTGAAACTATCCCTTCCCTTTCTAAACACGACCATGTCTCTGACAGTATTACTCCCCACCTTCTATGCCAAATTCATATAAGCTTAATACTGCCCGTCAAAAACGTAAATTTTAAATTCATTTTTTGTTTCACCTTTTGAAATTGAAATCTGAAGATCCAGAGAGAAAAAACTCTCTGGTGAAATAAATTATTACAAATGGAGCCTTAAAGTGGTCTGTCTTTCTTTAAATTAAATTATTCGCTCAGACTTAACATTGAGCTCTCAGGATTTCAGCCTCCTTGGGGCTATCCATACGGATTACCAAGATTTCCGTTAATAAATATTTGTATCTATAAAAAAAGAACGTATTAACATAAAAATGTCTTTATATATATAGGAGTTGGGGTAATGGATATCGGCTTGGTTTGTGGAATCGCAGAGCCGAGTTCCAATCCAGGTTGAACCCATTACATTCACTTACGTGCTAATACCCTTGGGAAAGGTGTGAAATCTCTTCTTCTCCCTCCAGCTATGGGTTAAATAGCAGGACCGACTGGGTTCTATAGCCTCGGATGGCAACTGGTCTAGGAGAAGGACAACTATGAATTCAAAACCTGAGGGGGTCGTTTGGGGACCTTGTGGCACGTAGTGCACCAGGTCTCTGTATTCGTCCCCTCAAAAAGTGTGGATGGTCCTGCACGAAGCCTTCACCACTATAATCGAATCTCATGTGCCGGTGTCGGGCTGTCAGTTTCCTGGAAACTGATCTGCTTGATCTTCATACGTCGAACCCGACGGGAGAGAATCGATTTTTTAATATATATATATATATATATATACTAAATCTCCGTGAACTTTGTTTGCGTGGTTTCTGGAGTGTGTGCCACCGTGCATACGAAGTCATATATAGAGAGTGGCTGAAAGAAAGATGTAAATTATTATCGCGTAGGAAGGAGGGGAGAGAAGGAAATGGTGTGTGTTCGTCTCAAATGGTGATCTAATTTAACATCCGGATTGTAGACATAAATGGTTACATTCATGTCCGCTTTTCACCTCTCTCTCACTCTCTCTCTCTCTCTCTCTTTCTTTCCGCCTCTCTCTCTCTTTCCACCTCTCTCTCTTTTCACCTCTCTTTCTTTACTCTTTCCACCCCTCACTCTCTTTCCACCTCTCTCTCTCTCTCTCTCTCTTTTCACCTCTCTTTCTTTTCTCTTTCCACCCCTCACTCTCTTTCCACCTCTCTCTTTCCACTCTCTCTCTCTCTTTCCACCTCTCTCTCTCTCTCTTCACCTCTCTTTCTTTTCTTTTTCCACCCTCACTCTCTTTCCACCTCTCTCTTTCCACCTCTCTCTCTCTTTCCACCTCTCTCTCTCTTTCCACCTCTCTCTCTTTTCACCTCTCTCTCTCTTTTCACCTCTCTCTCTCTTTTCACCTCTCTTTCTTTTCTCTTTCCACCCCTCACTCGCTTTCCAGCTCTCTCTTTCCACCTCTCTCTCTTTCCACCCCTCTCTCTCTTTTCATCCCTCTCTCTTTCCATCTCTGTCTCTTTCCACCTCTTTCTCTCTCTTTTCACCTCTCTTTCTTTTCTCTTTCCACCCCTCACTCTCTTTCCACTTCTCTCTTTCCACCTCTCTCTCTTTTCACCTCTCTGTCTCTTTCCACTTCTCTCTTCCTTCCACCTTTCCCTCTCATTTCACTTCTTTCTTTCCTCCTCTGAGATTTCGTGCATGCTTATTTATATTTCAGCTTTCTTGAAACAATATTTTAAATATTCAAAAAATATTTTTTTGCAATATTTAAAAAAATATTTTCAAGTGAATAGGATTTAAAAATATTTTTTGGCATATTAAAAATTTATTTTTAAGTTAATGTGATTTAAAAAAAAGAAAATAAGATTTAAAAATAAGTTTTGTTTATAAAGTAAGTATTTTTTTTATTTCAACTTTCTTCAAACAGGCGATATTTTAATGAAATCAACATCAAGGGTTTTTTTAACCTGAACCGTCAGTGACCAAACGAGTAACAGGTCGTCTAGTAAAGATATATATATATATATATATATATATATATATATATATATATATATATATATATATATATATATATTCTAGACTACCCATCACAGATTATCATAACTTACACACGCACACATATGTGTGTGTGTGTGTAAGTTTGACTTTTCTTTTTATAATTTTTCTTTGAGGTTATTTAATTTTTCTATAGTTTGAACCTTTCAATACACCTTGGTAACTCATGTTTTAGTCAATCTGAACTAACCAAACATTGAAAATCCGTGACCAGAGAATCCAGGGGATACAATTTCTCCGGCGATCAATGGCCCCCATCTGTCAATAGTGCAATAAATTTTACACAACGCTTCAAGAGCCATTGTCGCTCTCATGACCGTTAATGCATGTCAGTGACTTTCATAGTCATTTAATGAGTCGATAGCCATCATGTATATATATATATATATATATATATATATAGATAGATAGATAGATAGATAGATAATATTAGTGGTCAATACATACATACACACACACACACACACACACACACACACATATATATATATATATATATATATTCCCAAGAGGATAGAATCCAGGTAGAACTCAATGTCCTGGACAGAGTAAGAATATAATATAAAAGGCTCAAGCACTAATATTCTCTGGTTATAATTTATAACATTGTAATCGTAATCTAATTCATCAGACCTACAATATATATATATATATATATATATATATATATAAGGGAGAGATTATAGTTGTTTCAACGAGAGAAAAGTGTATATTTTAAAGAGAAAAGAGAAGGCGAAAAGGTTTTTATTTATAATGTGTATTTTTAATATACATTATACTTTATTTTCCATGAGGAAAATAAAAGTATACTATATATTTAAAAAATCCACATTATAATTAAAAAAAACTTTTAGCCTTCTCTTTTCTCTTTAATATATATATATATATATGTGTGTGTGTGTGTGTGTGTGTGTGTGTGTGTGTGTGTTTTTCTTGATTTAAAGCTTAACCTGGATCCTCACCTTGCCGACGGATTCTAGAGAGGATCTCAGGAGGATGGGACCTGGACATACAAACGCCCACATAAAAATCCACTTCCGCACACGCTATCCTTTCTTGAGGAAAAACACTATAATTCCTTCAGATAGATAGATAGATAGATAGATAGATTGTTGTATCTCGAAAACACGAGATCCAGATAGATAGATTTTTGTATCTCGTGTTTTCGAGATAACAGAGGGAAATAAATAAGGAAGACAAACTCGTAGGTAAGTCATGAAAAGAAAAGGTTTACTACACGAAGGTACACTTAGCAAATGACCTTATGCTAACTCGGTATTTACCCGAGCTCCTCCACAGAGCGGGATGTGGCAGAAGGCCGGTTTAACGTGGGCTTTTTTCCAAGCCCGTAGCCCCGGGCAAAAAATTGACCGTAGACCCTATAATAACGAGGTCGGCTTTGTCTACCTCCCCAGACAAGACTCTACCCTTCGGCATAGGATCGTCTGGGTTCACTTCTACCCGAAGGCAGTGAATTTGACAAGCACTCAGAGCTTAGCGCGCGGCTGAGATCTAATGCTAATTCGCTATATACCCGAGCTTCCCACAGAATGTGGCCGGTTTAACGTAGGTTTTTTTCCGAGGCCGTAGGCACGAGCAAAAGTTTCCCGTCGACCCTGTAATAACGGGGTCGGGTTTGTCTACCTCCTTAGACGAGTCTCCGCCCTTCGGAATAGCCTCATCTGGACTTCTCTATGCCCGAAGGCAGAGAGTTCGACGAGCAATAAGAGCTTAGCCCGCAGCTAAGACCTAATGCTAACTCTCCTCCACTCTGCGTAGCTCCGCTTATATTTATATAAACGGACGATTCCATTTATTTATGTCCTATATAACATAAATGAACCGATACTACATGGTTACTGTCAGTTTCAAGTTTCAATATGATGTTCAGGCCAATGCCAATATTTCATCCTTGAAAATGGCTAAATGTATAGCCGAAAGCGCTTGGTAAAAAAGAACATTCCGACAGTTTTTATGTAATTTATCATCAGAAAAGAAAAAAATTATTAGATCGCATGAGATATATATATATATATATATATATATATATATATGAAGAAAAATATACGGAAAAAAACAAACAAAAATCCTTATATCCAATTCTGCTGTTTTAATGTTAATATGTCAACGTCGGACGTTTCGGTCTAATAAACCATCTTCAGGACATATTCATAAAATATAATTAACATTATCAATTCAACATGACAAAGACGATGTACATAAGAACAAGACTTATCCAAACAAATAACTGAGAATAATAATAATAAGAGTTATCTGTTTGGATAAGTTTATGAATATATCCTGAAGATGGATTTTTGTTTGTTTTTTCCGTATATTTTTCTTCATACTGTCGGATCTATATCCATATATTTGCTTGCATATATATATATATATATATATATATATATGAAATGGACAATGTCCGACAATTATTTTAAGACATTTTTATGTTTATACTTTCTTTTTATAGATACGAATATTTATTTATGTATAAACATAAAAGTGTCTTAAAATAATTGTCGGATTTTGTCCATTTCATAATGTGTGTCGTCATTTGTTTACATTTGGATACGCCATGAGCAGATATGAATGTACGTGAGAGAATCATGGAAAATTGTAGTTTAAAGACAGTAAATTCGACCTTGCTAACCGAACGCTCCTCTGTAGCCAAATCGGTTAAAGGCACGTCAGGCTATATGACGGTTCTGTTTAGGATACAGGTTCGATTCCTGTCGGAGGACGAATATTTTCTATGGAAATTTCTCAGACATTCAGGCCGGTAAATGTTGTTTAATACTGGTTATTATAAAACAGAGCATTTACTTAAATATTTGTATCTATAAAAGAATGTATAAACATAAAAATGTTCTTATATATATATATATATATATATATATATATATATATATATATGAACGGTGAAACACGATGCTGATATCAGAACTTGAAATTTGTATGATTTTATTACAAGTATTAATGTTGAATTTTGTAAAACAGAAACAAAAATGGAGGATGAAAAATATAAAAACAAAATGGGGAAGGAACTTCTCCGACGTCAGAGACCAAATAAAACGTTAGACGAGCGATTTTTTTTTTTTTTTTTCTTATTGCCTCTCGTTTTCTGGGGGTACTAGTTCATTCTTGTGTCGTCGCTGTCTCCATGTCGGTCTAGAAAACACTTCTCATTCCTTGTAATCAGGCCGGTGTTCCATGCCCCGCTTATGATTTAGATTATGAGGTTTTCTGGTTGGGAAGCCATTGGGAAAGAGAGAATCTGTCAACAGAGAAGCGGGAAAATCGGCCAGGCGTTGCGAACAATACCTGAAACTGCTGGAGTGGAGATAGATAGATAGATAGATAGATAGATAGATAGATAGATAGATAGATAGATAGATAGATACTTATATACAATTCCTTTTAGACGAAGAGAATAAGTGAGCGGGATATTAGCTGATCCGCGCGTGCGCACAAACACACTTGTACACACACGCATGGCTGGGAAACCACCCGACCACACACACACATTAACTCCCACATACACAGAGATGCACACACACACACACACACATATAAATATATAATATTTACACTCGCTATATCCCTGATATAGAGCACTTTTACTCATAAATATAGCATACATTCGAATTATATATTTTTATGATTTATATATATATATATATATATATGTGTGTGTGTGTGTGTGTGTGTATATATGTGTGTGTATGTATGTATAAAGAGAGAGAGAGAAAAACAGGAAGGTGAAGAAAGCGAGAGAGACATAAGGTCAAATTGACAGCAGATCTCAAAAATGACCTACAATTTGTTGTTAACTGGAGCAAGGAATGGCTTGTTAATTTTAACGCTTCCAAAACAAAACTGCTCCCTTTTAATCGTCTGTGAGAACCCCTTCTGCCTTCCAGCTGCATGGCTGATGCTAACTTCTAGGAGAGTGACTCCTTTCATTCTCTCGGGCTAACGATTTCAGCTGACAAGAAGTGAACAAATTAGTTTGAATCGATTGCTAGAACTGTTGCTCGAAAATTTGATTCACTGAGTCATGCTCGACAATTTTTCTCGCTAGAATCTATCTTACAGATTTATAAGTCTACCATTCGTGCATCTGTTGAATATGGCAATCACATATAGTCTGGCGCTTGTGTTATGTCGAGATTCTTGATAAAATTCAAGTCCTAACCTGGAATCTCGGCTTCAGTCACTTTACTACCACCTGACAGAAGATAAAATGTCAAGTCATAACCTATAATATTACAGATTCTTCTTTGTATTTTATCAAGAAGCTCTAAATACGTAGCAGAAGCACCAATCCTGGGTAGGATTCTATTTTAGAGCAATCAAAATATGCAGCCCCCAATAATTACCTGAAGAAGACATATACATGGAAAACACTTTCAAAACTTCCAATATCCTCTTTATTTCTTGCACAAAGCTAAGAAAAATGCATACAAAATATACAGTCACAAAAAAATATAATAATATTATTAACAACAACGGCAATGACATTAAACTTGATAAAAACAGGCATAATATTACTACCTAATAACTCCGTAACATCAGATGTCCGAAATAATTTATCCAGTCTTAGCAATATCAAAATAATTACAACCATGTTCAAAACTATATATTATGGGTTTGATCAGAACCAAAACTACCTAAAACAATAACAATTTCGAAGCCGGTACATATAAAATATACTGTCATAACTGCTCTTCACGATATATTGGGGAAACTTGCAGAAATTTAAAAAATCTATGAACACAAAAGGGGTCTTATATAGAACAATTTATGAAATGCATTAGTTATACATAGAAATGAATTCAACCACAATTTTGATCTAAAGAATGCCATGCTTATTAAATGAGAATTTAACTTACTTTACCGGAAAATTCTCGAGAGTGGGGCTATAGAATCTTATCAAAATATAAATCTGCGGCCCGGATATTTTCAAATATCTCCATTCCTGAAAGAATTACTCCTTTCCCAAGTCAACATACATGACTATAAAAATGTTAAAAAATTAAAAGAAAACAGTTAAATTCATAACCTCCTGTTATCTCTAGATATAAAACAGAAGATGTCTGTGTGTCTGTCTGTGTGATACCTTTTCACACGAGATCCATCCAACTGATTTTGACCGAACTTGGTCCATATATTGTACTATGTAAGAGATAGGTTCTTAGCGTAAAAAATCGATATTTTTTTTAAATCAATAATCGGTAAAGCCGACCAAACATCGATGAAGTCAACATTTTTCTCCCATTTCGGTCAAACTCGGTATGTAGGTTACTTACATCATGATGAGCTCAACGATACCTCATTTTTATTTCTACGCGAAAAACGAAAAAATTGATTTCAGCACAAATCGATTTCAACACAATTTTTGAACTAAAGATTCCCTCAGTTTTTAAGCAATCTAATACAAACTTCACTCAATCGTAACCAACAATAAGCTAGCTGATTGTTTAACAATCATGTAACTTGATAATTGAGTTCACCCATATAGTGAAAACCAGCATAAATTGCATAAAAAGCGATTTTACTGGTTTCTTTCTTATTTTTTCGTTGATCTTTCAACCAATTTTCATCAAACTTAACAATTGCTTTGTAAATGTATCTTCTTTTACATCCCTTGTAACACACTGACTGAATTGGATTTTAAAAAACTCCATAATAATTAAAATCTGAAGTGAGTCTTCATGTTGCCTGTTTTACCCCTTCATGTCCTCTGCTAACTTCGATTGAAAAAATATATACTATTTCTATTATATCAGTGACTACATTAATTCAAAGTGTTTTTATTGAAAGTACTTTACAGTAATTGAAGAAGATAGATTCTGTAAGCATGATACTGTTTTTACTCCATTCTAATTGAAGGCTTTTTCTGATCGACCAGCTGGGTATGGCTGCTAGTATAAAATATATAATACATACATTTATCCCATACAACAATAATTGAAATACTTAAACTTTATTAAATATTAAAGATTTATTTTGAAAAATGTTCAACATTATTTACTCAATTCAGTTTTTTAGACATCAAATTACCTCTCTTAGCGTCCTCGATAATTTACAGAGGCTTTTCAGTTAACCTGATGAATATTTACGAGCGTCTCTTAAATTTAAAAACTTCGAAAAACTATCATTTTTACTTTTGTCTATAAATAATTGTTACAAAATAAAATCCTTACATTTGCCTTGATAAAGTGCATCAGAGGACGAAACGCGTCGGCTAAGTTTCGACGTTACTCATATATATATATATATATATATATATATATATATATATATATATATATATATATATAGCAAATATAAGGATATAGATCTGACAGTATGAAGAAAAATATACTGAAAAAAAAAAAAAAAAATCCTAATATGCGATTATGCTGTTTTAATGTTTAATGTCAACGTCAGACGTTTCGGTCTAATAGACCATCTTCAGGACATATTCATAAATTAACATAGACCATATACAATTCAACATGAAAAAGACGATGGACATAAAAGCAATACCAATCCAAACAGATAACTGAACGGCATTGCAAGAGTTGGTTGAAAGTGAAAGAGAATCAGAGTAGAAGAATATGTCGATGACATGAATTTGTTTAAGGTGGACCTCAATTTGCCATGAAGTGAGCCACCTATTAGATTTCATGGCCATTCCTCTTCGGCACATATGGAATGAGACATGCAGAATCCAGTTATGAAACTGCAACGGACTGACACTGATTCTGCTATAATTTCGATTGGCGCCTTCTGTAGCATGTCCAGCGTGCGTAGCCCTCTTCATGCGCTGGTTCAACCCTTGAGATCTGTTGTAATCATCATTCGCTTGTTCCACTGGTTGGGTCTTTGGGGCTGGCCGCGCTTAGTCTGGGTCCTTGTCTTCGACTGCTGCCAAGAGTGGCTCTATCAGGAGTTTAGAACTCCCGACGGCATTGTTCTCAGAATCATTGCCCCTCTACCACGACAAAGAAAGACCATCAGTGGTAAAACTATATATATATATATATATATATATATATATATATATATATATATATATTTAATAATTGTCGGACTTAATCTCCATTTCATTACATGTTGTCATTGTTTACGTTAACATACGTTTCAGGAGCAGATATACTCGATCGAGAAAAATCGATGAAAATTGTGTGTTTATGTTGTGGTGTCCTCCCTCTAAAGAGTCTATGTTGGGCTCTTCCGCCTAGTATAAGATTAGTAGGAGAGAAGGCCTTGGGGAACAGTCGTATAGATTAAACGTTGGGACATCCAACGCATACTCACTAATCATGTAATACTCTTCTGTTGTACTTACTGTTTAATATATGATATATCTTTAACACCTGTTTTGTTAATTCTTTAACCATTTACTTGGTCACAACAGTTTATAAACAGTAATTTCGACTTTGCTAACCAGACGCTTCTGTGTAGCTAAATGGTATAGCACATCAGACCACATAGCCCTTTCTGTATAGGAATACAGGTTCGATTCCTGTCGGAGAACGCATATTTTCTACGAAATTTCTTGAACATTCAGGACCGTAAATGTAATTAATCATGGGAAATTTGTTGTTTAAAAACAGTAATTTTACTTTGCTAACCAGACGCTTCCTACATAGCTAAATAGTATAGCACGTTAGGCCAAATGACCGTTCCGTGTAGGATACAGGTTCGATTCCACTCGGAGGACACATATTTTCTATGAAATTTTTCGGACATTCCGGCCTGTAAATGTTGTCAATACTGTTTATTATAAACAGGGCATTTACTTCAATATTTGTATCTATAAAAATAACGTATAAACAGAATATATATATATATATATATATATATATATATATATATTATAAACTGTTGCAACAGGACATGCAAGTTACCGGGACAACCAGTGTAACAGTTTATAATAAATAGTTATTGCTCTACTCTTGTATTGAACCCTTTTTTAAATTAATATTATGAACGTTTGAATTTATTCTTTTCGTTTTATATATATATATATATATATATATATATATATATATATATATATATATATATATATAAATATTTTCTCAGAGTTAACCTGTAGAAAAGACAATATTTAAAACATAAATGACAATAGGAAAACTTTAATAGTTGCCGACGCATTTTGTCCTATGTGGACTTTCTCAAAGCAAGAAACGAGATGAGTTTATTTAAAATTGTTCCTGCCAAAATATTGGAGAAACAAGTACAAATTCTAAAAAAAAACGCATTTATGAGCACAAAAGAGACCTCACAAAAAAAACTTAGCTAATGCACTAGTCATACAAAGAAATAAATTCAACCATAATTTTGATTTTGAAAATGCTATACTCATAAAAAAGAAAATAACTCACTCAGAAAGAAAATCCTCGAGAGTGCCGACATTGAAT